TATCCATTCAGCCAATCTTTGTCTTTTGGTGGGAGCATTTAGTACATTCACATTTAAGGTAATTATCGGCTCCTTCCATTCTTGGTCACCCTGGGCATCTGGAAGCTTGTCCTCAGAGAGGTCCTGTGATGACTCAAGGACCTATTGTATGTAAAACCCCAGCATAGTACCTGGCACAGAATGTGCATGCAATGAACGGAACCTTCTGGCACTATTAAGCACACAGTTGTTTGGAGACAGGTCCTAGTTTGACAAGTTAAACTAAGACTTCAAAATACTTAACAGCACCCAGTAGAATTTAGAGTTTGGTTTCTAAATTCTACTCCCAACCTAAAAGAAAGCAAGGCTCCTGAAGAAATGGCTGATTCCAGAGCTGGGTTAGGGAAGGTAAAAGATGAGCCTGTAACAAGCATCTTATACCAGAAGGTAGGGATGTGCTCCCCCAAAATGACCAGGACACACCAAAGGACACAGGAGTCAGCTTGAGAGGCTCCTACTGGTCAAATCTGGGATAACTGGAACATCAAAATAAACAATGACAGCAATGGATTGTAACACCCTTAACAAAACATATTATGAGCCTATATTGATAGTAAATGAATGGATAAATGGGGGGTAAGGGAAGGCACTTCCATACAGCAGACCCAAAAAATACAGAAAGAATGATGGAGGAAAAACAAAAATTATTCTTTGCAACCGTAATAGTAAAAAGATTCAAGCAAGAATCTTCACGGGAAGCTAAATGGGCCTAAGAATGGGACAATAATGAGGAACAGAATGCTCACAAGGTATTTACTTAAAGAACCTCCCCACAAAATTCTCATTAGTTACAAAAGGAAAAGGAACATACAGTGGAGAGACCACATAACACCTTAACCAAAAGATCGAGGTTAACATTGCAAACAAGGGGCAAGCAGGTGTTTAGGCCTGACTGACCCTCTGAGGAGACAAAAATCACACAATAACAGCCCATAAAAGTATAACCCAAATCTAATTAGGAAGAAGCATCAGAGAAACCCCAATCAAGGGAGACTCTAACAAAATAACCGGCCTCTAGTCTTCAAAATCATCAATGGTGTGAAGAACAAACTTGGAGGAACCGTCCCAGACCAAAGAAGCATCAAATGAGTTGACAACTAAACCCAGGAGGCAGAGAGGACTACAAGGCCATAAAGGACACACTGTACACCTGGAGAAACTGGATACACTGCAGGTTAAAGTACTGACTCAATCTTGGAGTTCTTGAATTAATAACTGTACTATGGATACAGTAAGAGGAAATATACACAGATATACACAACATATTATGCAATAAAGGAGTATGATGACTGCAATCCACTCTCAAATAGCTCAGAAGAAACATTTAGGTAGATTTTTCCACAGACCATTATGCCACAGCCAAGAAAACAGTTCAAATAGTCCTGTCACTGACGGGGTGATCATGCCAAAGCTCCCAAAGCATCATTTCTGCAGAATCTATTAACTACCACTTTTCCCCCACCAAAACGTCTAGGAATTACATCACTTTAAAGATAATGAAATTTTGGATTTGGCCCTTACTCTCTTTTTAAAAAATAACATTTACTGTGCTTTATGATCACAAGCTTAACACATGATTGTCATTTTAAGAAAAATATTTTTGATTGTCATTGTAAGAAAAATATTTTTTAAAATTTAATCACATATAATTTCCCACGAAAAAACAACTATTCACTTTGGTCTTCCTCAAAAACCTTTTTTTGTTTTAAATTTTATTTATTTATTTTTTGGCTGCATTAGGTTTTCGTTGCTGCGTGCGGGCTTTCTCTAGTTGCGGTGAGAGGGGGCTACTCTTCGTTGCGGTGCATGGGCTTCTCATTGCAGTGGCTTCTCTTGTTACGGGGTCTAGGCACACGGGCTCAGTAGTTGTGGCTCGCAGGCTCTAGAGCACAGGCTCAGTAGTTGTGGCACATGGGCTTAGTTGTTCCAGGGCATATGGGATCTTCCTGGACCAGGGCTCAAACCCGTGTCCCCTGCATTGGCAGGCAGATTCCTAACCACTGTGCCACCAGGGAAGTCCCCCACACCATTTTTATAATAGAAAATGTTATTAAAACCCAACATCAAATGGCAAACACCGAACTCCAGCTGCCCTCTAGCAAAGAACAAGCAGAGAGAGAGCCAAGAGGACACTCTCATCCCCAAAGGGCAGACTTACTGGGACTAGGAAGAAGGGAGAACAGCAGGCACCACTGGCCTCCCAGCCCGGGGACACGTGAGTCAACTGTGCTGGGTGCTCACCACAGTGGGCTCAGCTCCGCCACAGACTGCTGGGGTCTATCCAACGCACCAGGTTTCGCTATACCCTGTGAGGCCTCAAATCTTGGCATGGGCAGGGTAATTGTACCCACCCCCCAAATTCATATATTGAAGTCTTAGCCCCCACCAACGTGACTGTATTTCAAGACTGGATCTTTACAGAGGTAACTGGGCCCTAGTCCAATATGACTTATGTCCTTATAAGAAGAGATTATGATATGGACACACACAGACGGAAGACCACGTGAAGATAAAGGAAGAAGACAGCCATCTATAAGCCAAGGAGAGAGGGTTGGAATAGATCCTTCCCTCACGGCCCTCAGAAGAACCAACCTTGCAACACCTTGACCTCGAACTTCTAGCCTCCAGAACCCTGAGAATAAATTTCTGTTGTTTAAGCCACCCAGCATGGGACTCTGTTATGGCAGCCCTAGCAGATTAACACAGGTGGAAGGAGGTGGCAGGCCCCCACTGTCTGACATGCAATGGCTCATTTATTCTACACTACAGTCCTAAGGCTGAGGTGCTATTTTTATCCCTGATTTAGAAAGGAGGGAACAGAGGGTGAGGAAGGTCCAAAGCTCACGACAAGTCACACCAGGTGGCAGGCTGCAATGATTCCAGATCCATCACAGGGTCTGTGTGCTTTACTTCACACTGGCTACCATCAGAGAGAACGCCAAGGTCACCCGGTCAGACACCTTACCTTCACGTTACAGATGGGAAGTCTGAAGCTCTGCAAACTCAGAAAGTTATCCAAATAAACAGCTGAATAAACACACGAAGATTCCCTATCCTAGTCTTGCATTCTACTCACCAAACTGAAGCACCTTAAAATGGATGAGGATGCCTTCAGCCAGCAGACTGGACCTATGACAGCCATACCTCACGAAGGCAAAGGAGGCCTGGCCCCACCAGACCTGCAGAGAGGCCACCCACCCACCTCTGTGGCGTTAACACCGAGGAGAGAAACCTGCAGTCACCAGATGTCTATTTCCCCAAACATGAGGGAACCCCCAGCTGGTCAACCTGGCAGGAAGAGGATGCTCAAAGCTACAGAGAAATCACAAATAAACCAATGAACCCTGTGAAACAATGGATACTCAGGACACCTGTCCTGCAGTATGACCTTTGGTAAGTCACCTCACCTCTCTGACCTTCAGTTTTCTCACCTAGAAAATATCAACAGGTACCATATGTTGACATTTACAATGTGCAAGGCGCTGAGCTAGTTGCCACACACTCTCTCTCTCTCTCTCTCTCTCTCTCTCATCTGATCTTCAGAAGAGCCCTGGGGTGGGGGTGTTACCCCAGTGGCAGTCTTGGGAGTGCACTGCTCGGACTGGGATCCACCACAGCATTCACCCTGAAGGCACTCTCTTGTCAAGCTGCCAGCCAATGACTGACCACAGTGGGGGTATAGCGCCAGGCCACCTGTGCCCCATGCTAGACTCTTCCAATGAGAAACCTTCCTTTGCCTGGCTGAGACTTCCTCAGAGATACATTCCTACTCAACCCTCCTTCCTTTCCCCTCTCCTTTCCCCAGTGTCAGACCAGCACCCCAGACTGAAAGCTCTCCTGCTCCCTCTCCTTTACCCTTTATTGTTAGCTTTCCCAGTCAATCTCTTGCAGAACTAATTCTGTTCTCATTTTACAGATGAGAAAACTGAGGTGATTAACATGCCCAAGGTCAATCAGAATTCAAAGCCACATCTGATTCCAAAGTCCAAGCTCTTAAGGAGAAATTATGTTACACACTTTGTAAAGCAATGCCATACAAATCCACGTGACTATTTACAAAAAGCAATGCTGTGCCACGGGAAGGGCACCACATCAAGAAGTGGCTCCAACATTTATTAACAGAGTGACGTTCAGCAGATGAGTCCTTTAATCTTATTCTTCCTATCTTTTTTTCTTTAAGGTTTATTATTTATTTATTTTATTTATCTCTGGCTGTGTTCGTTCTTAGTTGCGGCATGCGGGATCTTTCGTTGCGGCTTTTCTCTCTCTAGTGGTGGCGTGCGGGTTCCAGACCATGTGAGCTCTGTAGTTTTCGGCACATGGGCTCTAGTTTAGACATGTGAGCTCAGTAGTTGTAGTGCTCAGACTTAGTTGCCCCGTGGCACGTGGGATCTTAGTTCCCTGACCAGGGATCGAACCCACATTCCCTACATTGTAAGGTGGATTCTTTACTACTGGACCACCAGGGAAGTCCCCTATTCTTTCTATCTTATGGATGATGAAGCTATCACCAAACCTGCTTACCTCACAAGGTAGTTGCTATAAATGCAATCAAATGAGATGCCTCCCCCAAGAAAAATGGCAAATAAACACAATATGTGAGCGGAAGATTCTGCTAACTGCAAAGCACTATGCAAACATATGGGGTAAATAAACAGTGGCCCCGAACCCAATGGTCCTCTTGAAGGTAGTGTCACTTTTCTTAAACAGGTCCCCAAAATATGGGAGAAAATGATTATGGGATTGGGAGACACAAAGAACAAAGTTAAATATTCCAAACTTCCAAATGGCTCTTATTTATACTCACATCCCCAGTATGTGTAGCAGTGCCTGGCACACATTAGGCACTCGGAAAATAACTGCTGAATGAAAACTTCAAAAAGACCCCCAACCACCATCTTTCTGTCCTCCAAGGCACAGGCTCAAGCTTCCCCCACAGCCTCAAGTGCAAAGCAGGATACCTGGCAGTTCATGTTGTCCTCTGCTTCAATGAGCTTCCCTCGATACACCTCACCAGTGTTCGTCTCACATGTCACGATGTGACCCTCAGCCTCATGTAGGACTTTAATCGGCACGCCAATAGACATCTCGGCAGGAAGAGAGTTCTACAGTGAGAGAGACAACAGTTAGTTCACCTTTCAGAGCCCAAGAAGGCATGTGGCAAACACCACGCCCTCAAGGTCTGAAACTACACAAAACTTAACCAAGACGCCAAAGGTGCGTTTGTTATTATTATTATTTTTTTTTTACAGAAAAAAGTAGCTTAACTCCTAGCTTGAAGGACCTATCTGGCAAACACATGCAAGATGTGGGTGGGGAGGAACAGGGGGGCTAGAGGGAAAGCTAATGGGAATGAAAAGTGCCTCCCATCTCCCTCCCACTGTAGATCACTTATTTTTCATCAAATAACTATGTGTTCCCCAATACTGTGTGTTGGAGAAGAGAAGGTTGGAATGCATGTATATTTGTCAACCCTCAGCTGTGGGTAACATCTCTTGGAGAACTTATGACACAGACCTGAGCTGTCCAAGGCAGTAGCCACTGTCTGCATGCAGCTACTGAAATTAAACTCAATTAAAAAGAAATAAAATTAAAATAGAAAATTCAGTCCTTCAGTCACATTAGCCATGTTTCAAGAGCCCAATGCAGTGGGCACTAAGCAGTGCAGATACAGACCAAAAGATCCAGGCAAATCGAGAAGAGGCTGTGCATTTAATTCAACCCATTAAGTGCTCTCTGACCCTCCACTTCACCATCAAGGCTAAAGAGAAAATAGCAAAGTGTTCACAAAGTGACAATGTGCTACAAGCAGGAAATGCTTATCTTGGAGGAAAAACATAATCAGGGTAAGAGCCCGACTTGACCTAACTGAAAGGGAAAAGCAGTGGACTTTTTCTGTTCCAAGATGAGCACATCTTGTGTGGTCAAGAGAGGAAAAGGAACAGCAGAGGTTGGGAAGGATAGGCTCCCCTGGTGCGGAGCCTTAGGAGTGTGGATTTTATGCTGAACGCAGTGGGGGAACCACGACAGTATAGGAATTATCCGATGGAAAGGCATCCGCACTTACAAAATGAATCGTACACGATTTAGAAGCAGGGAAACTTGATAAAAACTTGTGTAACAGTGTAGAAAGCATGAGGGGACCAGTGTCTGAAAGGGGGATGGAGGCAGAGATGCATAGGGCTTTGAAAAGGATCACCCAGGTAGGATTTGGGGGAAGGAGGCAATCAGTCAGAAATGATCTCAAGACCATTACCTGGCTGATTCAAAAAACACTGGCCTGCAGAGGTATAGAAACTGAAGAGCATATACTTTGGGGAAAAGCTAACGAACTCACTCCCAGGCGCTAGTGAGGCGACGCTCATGTTTCGGTGGCCGGGCTTCCCGCTCTTCTCCCTCCCCGAGCCCCGCAAAGCTTCCCGGCAGCGCGTCCTCCTCCAGCCCCCGGCTCCTCGCGGGTACCTCGGCCTACCCTCGCCCGCCCCCGGCCTCTCCTCACCGGTTCCGGTCTCCTCTTCCTTTCTGTTGCGGAGGTGACTCTTGCGACTGCGAAGGCGTGAAGCGAGTGAATGGCGGGTCCCGCGCTCCCAGAATACCACGCGTTCCCAAAATGCCTCGCGCAGGGCCCGCCCCCTTCCTTTTCCTAGTGGCGGGCGCGGTCTCGCTTTCGCTTTCTCCTCACCCTGCCGGCTGGGAAACTTGGGCTCTGGTATAATAGTTCCGGGCCCGGAAGAGAGGGCTGATGACCGGACCCAGGTGCCGCCGGAAACATCGACCCTCGGGCCGGCAAGGGCAGATGGGGGTCGCGTTTCCAAGCATCCTACACCAGCGACGGGCTGGACGGCAAGGTGGGCATCGTGAGCGACAGGCGGTGGGGCCGAGGGTCAAGACCTGCCCTCACAATCTAACCTTGAGAACCCGACAGCGCCAGGTAAGGGGCGCCCTGAGCGAGGCGAGTATCCCACCATACGGAGAGGGAAACAGGGACGGAGAGGAGCGGGGGCGGCCTGTGACCGTCCCTCCAGGGGGCCGGAGTGGGGCTTGGTCTCCCGGAGCCCTGCGCCCTGCCTCGGCCCGAGGCTGGCGGAGGAGCTGGCCGGGCAGAGGCGGAGCTTGTTTGGGGAAGAGCCTCTGGGGAGCCCGCGTTCGCGGAACGCCCGGGCCTGGGCGGAGCTTCCGGGGAGCCGGGCGGGGAAGGGGTGCGAGGCCCGGGAGGCCAGGGGCGGGGCTCCCGGGAGCCGGGACCGCTAGCGACCGGACGAGCTGAAATCCCGAGCCCTGGGGCCTGGAGGCGTAGTAGTCGGGGCGGGGCGGGCCGTGGCCTGT